GCCCCTGCTTTCTCAACTAAATAATCATATCATACATTGTACCAGAAAAGTACAGACTTCTAATATCTGCTTAACTACGACAAGTTCACACAGAGAATACCTGGGGCCTGGAGGTCCTCTGCTTCTATTATTCCCTGACCCACCGTGTACTGAGGATAACGAACTTGAATAAGGACCTGAACCATTTTCTTTCTTGTATGTCGTTTTCCCATGCAATGAAGAGTCTGTAAATATAACAAATTGGTCAGCTATGTCTCCAGTGATCAAATTACTATTCATAACTGAGAACTTCTTACAAGTACATAAGCTAAGTAATTAATTATCAAACATACCAGAAGTATAATATTGTGCTGAAGAACCGCGGCCATATTGACGATCTGCACCAGACTTACTAACTCGACTTGAGTTACTATTAGCACCACGAGACCTAGACTCAGGTTGATCTTTACCCTGAAAGAAAAAATAAAATTACGTAAGTAACTGTATATTGGGGAAGGAAATTTTGTTACAGCTAATTATACAATGACAAATCACAAATTCAGAAAGCTATAACATTGGAGTCCCAAAACAGAATAAATAAAAGTAACCAGCAATAGTAGGCCTTTGCCTCATAAAAACCTAAAGCATTCTGTAGTTGGAAGGAGGAGCAAATAAAAGAAAACAAATGAGACATAAGTGCAAGACCAGATACTAACAAACTCCTGCATATTTGATCTGCAGATTTATTGTACTGACCAAAACAATGGGAAAAAAAAAATTAAATAAAAAATAAAATTTTCAACAAATTTTTCTTGCTATTATAGGAAAGCAGACTTGTCAAAAGGACTGGAATGCTAAGGGCGACGCTGCAGAGCATATTGTGATACAGCCCTCGAGGCAGAGGGAGAAGGTGATATTGTTTATTCAAAACAACAACAAACCTCTTTTTTCTTTTCTCGTTTGCTCTTCACCTCATGGAAAGGATCTACATAATTATAAAACGGAGTAAGAAATCAGTTAAAGTAAACAAGAAACACAATGATTACAGATTTAAGCTTCCAACAGAGGTGTGTCATGCAGTTACTTTTACTCAACTGGTCATAGTGATAAAATAGCAACATGAAAGTTCTGCAATCAGTTATCAATTAGAACCAAAAGAATCCATTATTATAGTTCTTATTAGTTGCAGGGGGCTATTCAGCTAGATAAAAATCAGTTAATTATAGGTGTAATATGGCATATCACGAGATCACATCAAATAACAATATACCTTTCTGAATTTTTATCCAAGCACAAAAATTTCAATAAAATATCATCTAAAGCTCCTGGGCATTTTCTTATCAAATAAAGGATAAAAAAACAGTTCTTGGAAGTTTTTTTTTTCCTTTTCTTATCGTTCTTGTAAGACAAAAGAACACAATACAGATAAAACGAACAGATTCTGGTTTGTATTCGTCTTCAGCGACCACAATGCAAAGAACAAATATTTTTCCTTCCAAAGTCAACACATACACATAACTGCAGATGCACATCACAAATTCCACTTTGAAGCTCCATAAATAACAGTTATAAGGGAACAAAAAATGAGCGAGAGATAAAAATGAATAAATAAAAATATATAAATCTTTAGGATTCGTCAGGGAAAAACCTTGAGCGAGAAGACGATTGACAGCCTCGTTGGGGTCCATGTTACACTCCTTGAGAGCAGCGTAGATCTCCGCCTCCGGACAGTTAACTATCTCCTTCAAGCTCTGCACCACCTTCCGCGACCCCGCCGGAATGGGTTGTACCACGCCCCCATTGCCGGCACCGCTTCCCCTGCTTGTACTCATCAGATCTAATCTCGCAAAGCCAAGGCGCTTTGCCTTATCCCTTCTTCAGTCACTCCTTTATTATCTCGAAATTCCTCTGTAAATATGAAGAAATTCGATATTCAGAGAACGAAACACGCACCAAGCCACACACAGTGTACGCGACCAGTTGCAGGTATTTGAAAATTTACGCTTGTTTAGCACGATCGATAGGGCAGCGAAGAGGAGATTATCTGAAGTTTTGGAAACCCTTTTCAGTTTGGGGGTTTCATAAATATACAGTGGAGGACAGTGGTTAGGGCAGATAGCTTTTTTCGATTCGCCAATTTCGAATATTTTTCTTCACGTTTTTTTATTTTCTAGTCTTTAAATTGTTGAGTTGTTTTATGTAATATAAAATACTAGTAAATAATTAACTTCATAGTAACTCGAATTCGATTTTTAAGTAAACGGATGATTCGACTCATTAACTACACGGATGATTCGACTCATTAACTACACGAGCTGTTATATAGAATTGTGTTCGGCTTATTTGAGTTTGAGTCGAATTTTAACGAACGAAGGCTAAGAACGACTCAGTTCTTTTGACAAGTCTACTTAATGATAAAATATTAATGAAAACAGCTTAATAGACTTAATTCATTATTTCTTTAATATCAAGTAATGCACCATCTCTTTGGTATGTCTTATATAAAAATTCGAATTGAGTGTGATTGCGAGGAATAATTTTTATCTCTCCATGATTTTCTTCTCCAATTTGTGCAAGTAAAAACATAGCTTCTATTTTCGTTGTCACTTGTCAGCCTTCATCCTGCAGGGGCACTCCGCGCCGCTGCGTTGTTGCTCACCTTAGGACCATGCTTTTGGACTCCCGTCACATCGTGCCTCTCGACTGGGTAGCATTTTTGCTGTAGTTGTTGGTGGGCTTCCATTTCTCGAGGTTGTTATGGCGTTTGTCGGTGTGGTTGGGCGACTAGCTCCGATTACCACCATGCGCTAGTCGGAGCAGTGATTAGCTCATTCGTTCCTCATTTTCGATGTCTTCCTGTTGTTTGGCGGGAGGTGTTCGTCGATGGGTCGTCGCTTTGATGACTTGTCAGCTTAGGTTGTCGGTTGGTGAATAGGTGGAGTTTGGAGCTGGTGGAGTGTGGTTGGTTGGCTCTTGTGGCCTCTAGTTGTCGATCAGTGTGGGGGTTGGTGTTAGAGGCTAGTCTCCGGTTTCGGGTTCGAGGGTTGTCTGCCTGGGGGAGGTTTCGGGTTGGGTGGGGAGATATGTATTGTTTCTGCAATTTTAGGCTCAACGCCTTGGACTGGGTTCTTGTCCGTGTAGGTGGTTGCCCTCGGGGGTTGGTGTTATGGTTTTCTGCAGAGTAGCTTATTTGGCCAGCCAAATTACTCCTCATAGAACTCTATTGCCATATCAAAGTCATTGTTGCTTTTCGACATTTATAATAACTGATGTATAATATTTTATTTATGAGATTTTTCAGAGATCTCGTTTTAGATATTTTATGGACAAAAAGTTAAAGGAATGAAAAAAAAAATGTTTATGGCTCGAAATAGTAACCCTCAAAGTTGAGCTAAAGGTGTCGGTTATCGAGAAAATTTACACGTCTCCATCCTCAACAAGTGGCACATGTTCCATCAAAAGTTGTGTCGTCTCTTTTCAAACCACCATGAATTGGACGCAAAATCTTATTACAATCCCATTCTGCTCGATGTCGATCCAACATGGTCGACCTTCAAAAAATGGTGGAGAATATTGCATACAACTTTCTAGCTCCCAATCGTGATCTTGTTACCCATCCAGCGACCTAAAAACTTGGGCGGGCCTGTTGTGTATATCTTGAAAGTTTCATAAAAAATCCCATAAGATTAAGACGGGAGCATGACCCATTCTCTTTAAAGCATCCCACACCTAAGCGAGGCCCGAGAACACTAGTGCGCTCGACTCAACAATGAGAGGGCAGCATGTCGATCCCCCTATAATCACATATCGATATATGTTGATCTCGCGTTCGCCGATCGCTCTGCTTTGGTGAATGCATTCTGACATAATGAACTATTAAAACCACTTAAAATGGTGATCCAATTCTTCCACAAATCAATGTAACTGATATTCTTGCCAAATTTAATAAGCAAAAACTTACCAAACAGAAACAGACGGAACTTTTGGACTGGCTTGGGAATAATCATTTGTTGATTTTATTAAGAAAAATGTTAATCAGATTACAGAAGTAGAAAATCCAAAAAATCGAGAGTGGATGTTGCTCAATCCAAATAGTTTATATGATGCTATTGTTGTAAAGTATACAACAATATATATATCCGTAAATATTTTGTGAGTTAGAAGATATGTGCCTAGTGTTATGATGCTAAATTAATAGTACATATCCAAACTAAATAATTTTATTAAATAGCAAATATTTTAATTATATTAAATTTATATAATTCGTATACATGTACTGTTGAATTTATCAATAGCACATATACTTTGCATATATTGTACTTGACCCATATGTAATGCTTTGACTATAGTAACATAAACTATATATGGCCATAAGATAAACAATTTTTATACACAATAGATTATCTATGGTTCGGGGAAAAAAATAATATGTAAATTATATACAAAGAGTAAACTTTGTCGGTTAATTTATACATATAAATTATCCTAACATAAACTATATATATATATATATTGATAAGATAAACAAATTATGTAACAAGCTATAGATTATCTAGACTTAACCAAATATAAAACTCAACAAGTAGGTTTGTTTTTCTTAATTTTTTTTTCTTTATTATTGAAATGATTGTGAAATTTACCTAGTATGCAACATGTTTTGTTATATGTGAAGTGAATAAGATTCACCCGGGCTCCTTCAACTCGAACCGGCCTCCGTACCTGCAGAACCCAACGCCGGGGTGGCCCCGGCGTCGGGCCTCCTTAAGTCAGTGCTCAGATCAAGAGAGAGAAAGTGTAGTAATGTAATGAGGAGAGGATATGAGAATAAGGTACCTTGGCCCCCCTTTTATAGGGGGAGTATACCTTTGTGGGCTCAATATGAGCTTGGCCCATATTGTTGGGTTTAGACGTCTTAGTGGGCTTATCTTCCTATATGTATCCGCTTTATCCATAAACCGGGTCCAGTATAATATCCTATATCATCTAGTCCCCCCCACTCTGGTCGAGTAAGCATAACTCGATCCAAGAGTGAAATGCCTCTTCGAGTTGTTTTCTTCAACTTGTCACTAAGATCGAGCATCAAAAGTTGAATGACCATTGAATAATCGCTGAAATATCCTCCAAATGAGCTTTGAGATCTCAAGATCGAAAATCAAAAGACCACGGAGGTCAGAAACCGAATGATCTGATGTCGGGGTCGAAAACCAAGAGTCGAGACCGCTGAGGTCGAAAACCGAGAATCGAGACCGCTGAGGTCAAAAACCGAGAGTCGAGACCGTTGAGGTCGAAAACCGAGAGTCGAGACCGTTGAGGTCGAAAACCGGGCATCGAGACCGCAAGAGGTCGAAAACCGAGAGTCGAGACCAATGAGGTCGAAAACCAAGAGTCGAGACCGTTGAGGTCGAAAACCGAGAATCGAGACCGCTGAGGTCGAAAACCAAGAGTCGAGACCGTTGAGGTAAAAAACCGAGCATCGAGACTGCAAGAGGTCGAAAACCGAGAGTCGAGACCAATGAGGTCGAAAACCAAGAGTCGAGACCGTTGAGGTCGAAAACCGAGAATCGAGACCGCTGAGGTCGAAAACCAAGAGTCGAGACCGTTGAGGTCAAAAACCGAGCATCGAGACCGCTGAGGTCGAAAACCGAGAGTCGAGACCGCAAGAGGTCGAAAACCGAGAGTCGAGACCGCAAGAGGTCGAAAATCAAGAGTCGAGACCGTTGAGGTCGAAAACTGAGAATCGAGACCAATGAGGTCGAAAACCGAGAGTCGAGACCAATGAGGTCGAAAACCAAGAGTCGAGATCGTTGAGGTCAAAAACCGAGCATCGAGACCGCAAGAGGTCGAAAATCGAGAGTCGAGACCAATGAGGTCGAAAACCGAGAGTCGGGATCACTGAGGTCGAAAACCGAGAGTCGAGAGACCGTTGACCGAAGTCTTGAATTTGAAAGTTTGAATTTACGTCTGTTTGTGTTTCGATCACCATGTTCGAGCTCCTTTATACCACCTCGTCCTATCATCCCTCAGTTCAAAGTTTAAAATTCAAGCCTGTTGTGTGTTCCTTTGAAAAATAAATCAACCACCAACCTGCTTGAGCTGTAATGAATATACTCGACCTGCCACTGACCCGCCACTGGGGTCGAAAAATCAATTCGACGGAAGGATAATCAAACGAAGCACAATCAACCTGTTCCAGCCATAATGAATATACCTGACCCGCCACCAGGGTCGAAAAATAATTTCGATAAACCAGAATCCACAATCAACCCGCTTGAGCAAAAATGAATATACCTGACCCGCCACGTGGGTCGAAAAATGACTTCGACAAACCATAATCAACAATCAACCTGCTCGAGCAAAAATGAATATACCTGACCCGCCACTTGGGTCGAAAAATGACTTCGACAAACCAGAATCAACAAACAACCTGCTCGAGCAAAAATGAATTGGGTCGAAGAATGAATTTGACGGAATCATAATCAAATAAAACGCAATCAGCCTGCTCGAGCAAAAATGAATATACCTGACCCGCCACTTGGGTCGAAGAATGAATTCGACGGAATCATAATCAAATAAAACGCAATCAACCTGCTCGAGCAAAAATGAATATACCTCACCCGCTACTGGGGTCGAAAAATGAATTCGACAAACCAGAATCAACAAACAACCTGCTCGAGCAAAAATGAATATACCTGACCCGCCACTGGGGTCGAAAAATCAAT